GTTTTCTGCGTCTACGATCGACCCCGGCTCTTCTTATTTGGATTTTGATTGCAAACTACGAATTTGGATTATCGATAAGTTGAAGAAATGCCACGAAAATCGTCTATTAAGTGTTATTTTCGGTGTGCGACTAAAGGTACGATATTTATTTAGTAAAATCTATAAAATTATTATTTGTCATATACACAATCAATTACTGCTCTTGTTACATCAATTTCAATCGTAACAGTTTATTGACTTCTAATAAAAAACATTTCAGGTCCTTTTCATCCATTTTCTAAACCTGAATACCCAAATTTGGAGAAATTCATTTAATGGAAAAATATTTTAAATGAAGACATGAAACAAAAGGAAGATTCTTACATTTATAACAACATAAGAACATGTGATCGTCATTTCGAACAGTTTTACCATTCTTCAAGTAAACGACTCACTCAAAATGCTGTACCAACTCTATACTTAAGTAAGTATCTAAAGTAATCTACTTCCCAAGTAGTTATAGGTGCACAATACATACTACTAATATTAAATAACTATAAATAATCAATTATATTTTATAACTATAGATAATATTAGGTATACATAATTATTATTTTTACTTTAGAAATTGGTGCTCATAATTAAAAATTAAAAACAAAAAAAAATGATTTAATTGAATATAATGAAATAGGTACATATACCTACAAGTCATCTTAACATTTTTATAAACTTACATGCGGTCTTTATTACCTTTTTTATCTAAATAAAGGAAAGTGCCTACAAACAGTATTGCAAAATAACTACTTGTGTCACTTCTTTACATATGTAAAACAAAAACAAAGTGTTCTAAATATGCAGAGATTATAATTTCACTGGATAAATACAAACCAAAAAAGTTGTTTATAGTTTTTAATGTAATACAAGAATGGCAGTGTTTAATTCAGTAAAAATTACAAGTCTATTTATATTCAATCAGAAACTCTAAAAGAAACAAGGAAGGAAAATACAATCAAGACAATATGTTATCATTCAATTTTAAGATTTTTCATTTAACTTTTCTTTTAATATATTTATTTGTTTTAAAAGAAAATATTTTATTTAGCAGCATCAACATTTGAGACTGTACACTCATCACATTCTGTTGAAACTGAAAAATGTGTTGATACACAAAAAGAAGACAATGACGCATCTTGTAGTCACCACTTGGATTTAAATATGAATCAAGTTCAGCTACAAAGGAGTTCTGCTAATTCCTCTCATTTATTTCCTAAAGGTAAGTTACGGGTATATAACTAAACTTAAAATTAACTATGATTGCTATATTAACTTTTAAATTATAAAACAGCATAAAGCATTTTAAATACAATATAAATTTAAACCACAGATTCACTAGATTTGCAAGTATCGACATTTATTTCATATTTACTTCAAATATGTATATTTTTTGTCTTTTAATAAACATTAATCCTGGTTTAAACCTAAGATGTTCAAAAATGTCTTCTCATCATTTAATTGATTATCTGAAATCCCTTATGACAACTATTAGTCCCGTCGTTAGAGATACTACTGTATACATAATTAAACATAACTAACTATATCAATATTTATAAAACATTCATTTCACTCCCTCGTCTCCTGCCAGCCGGCCGCGGTCTTCCTAGTTCCTCGTAATGGATGTCTTTTTCTAATGCTGATGCTTCATGGTGTTTTTTTTTACATATATCTAATTATTATATTTTATATTATTGGCATTACTTACATTATAAGTTCTTATACTTATTGAGTAACGTTTTTAGTTTTGTTTGATAATAATTAGTGTTTATTTTATTGTGTAGTACGTGGTAGGAATTTTGAATTATTTCCTAAGCGTTACATACATTGGGCGCAGGGTTTTTTAACGTTATCGTTTTGATGGCTTCCTTTTTTTATTTTAACTATTATCTTTACAATTTTCGGCCACGCCCTAAAATGCGACTTCTTAATGTAAATTGGTAAGTTTGTTAACAATTAATGTATTGTCTTTATAAAAATAGTATTATTTGTAACGTTCCAGGACTCGTGAGAATATATAATTCAAGATGAGGGTCGAAGCTGTTGGTGGAGCGTCTGTTAGGACGTGGTCTGCGGACGAGAGGAAACCTTCTATGAAGAGAAGTGTATGTAGCTGATGTACGATAGTAGTGTGACGGTATGTACTGTTGAATATTTAATATTATTCTGTTATTATTTAGAGTCAGGGTTAACAAATAATGATTAAATAAATAAATGAAAGACAGTAAATTAATTGATGAAAGATTTATTTCTATAAAATATATGAATGGACGCGAATAATGTAACATAATTTAAAATATTTAATATTTTAAGTCTACGTATACAGGGTGACTGGTGAATTACTATCAATATTTAAGGAGCATACTCGGTACATGATTCTCATTCGAATTATGTAAAAAAAAATAGGTACTTAATTTTTGACCAAATTTCCGTATAAATAAATAAAGTGTTGACACGTTCCAAGTGTTCCAAGTGTGGACGCGTGCGGCGGCGTACTGATACAAAACCACGCCCCCGCCGCGTGTGTGTGAGTGTGTGTGTATACTTAATCTGTAGGGTGTTCACACGATGCGTAATTAATTACACAACTTTTGGTTAACTTTACTTAGAAGTTTATTAATATTTATGTTATATTAATTTTTATTTTGTCATATATGATCGTCAAATATCACGTCCTCAAATATCGATAGTAATTCACCAGTCACCCTGTATATGTTACAAGTTCCTGAGTTATTAAAAAAAATATTTTTACCGCTTTTTTTTTAAGTTCACTTGTATGTAGATTTGTATGTTTGTAACTTCTTTCCTGAAATAATAGTAATTATAATAATAACTAGCTCTTCCCCGCGGCTCCGTCCGCTTGAACATGAGTTGTTCTCTATCACTAAGGCCACTGAACCTGGACTAATTCCACTTCATTTTTCCCCCGTGTAGTATTGGGATTTCGGTCGGGATCATGGAATCGAATAATTAGAATAAAAGGAAGCCCAAGTCCTTTTCCTTGGTTTCATTTATGTCCATACTAAAATTCATCACAAACAGTTCAGCGGTTTAGGAATGAAAACTTTACAAACAAACAGACAGTACTTCCGTATTTATAATATTAGCAGGGATTTGATAATAAATACAATCACTAATAGAAATCAGGCTATTAATAATGGTTTAGAAAACAAAGGCTTCTGTGGTAAGAAGAAATAATGAGTTGAATAAATAAATGTTAAATGGAAGAAATTAATTAAATTAGAAAACTGTATGACAATGGAATAGTAATATCTAGCACTCCACCAACTTAAACACAAATTGAATCTCCTCTTTAAATTTGAATAATAAAATTATGCTATTATTTAGTTTGCTATTTTATAGGAGTTTTTTGTTATTTTTTAAACTTTTATTAATTTATTTTTAACCAATCCTTGAACCGTCTTTGTATGTATTTATATAAGAACAATATTATATTATGTATTACAGATGGTGTTATTGGACTGTACTTGAGATTCATCCATCAGGAGATGACGGCTGATCATCAAGTGTTAGATGAAAACTAACAATGAACCAAGTATTGATGAAACATAGAATTATATGAAGAGGAGAATGACTCGGTTAGTGTAACATATTAGAATAGAGAAGACTTGAAGTATCAACTGTAGCAGTCTCCAGACAATATAAGGAGTGTGTTCACTATAAACATGTACAGTACGTGTTTGATGTGTCTATTGATATCAAAGAACCTCCTGGAATGTACGTATACATAGAAAGATAATTAATTTTAATTTATTTAAAACTATTTAGAGCTCTCCTACAGAAACATCCTCCTCAATCAAAGTACTCATAGTTTCACTACCGTCGTATGTTTTCACTACATGGTCTGTACATCGATCATGAAATACATATATGTTTGTTTCCAAAGATAAAGATGGTTGTAAAACAAGTGAAGTAAATGATATGCAAACGAGTATTTGTAGAGTATTCAGAGAAAAAGAATGTTCAAAAATAATAATGTTTAATGAAGATTAATGGTAAAACGAATGTTTATAGTTTGGATGACTGAGGTGTTCTTTTCATGTTTTATCTCAATTAAGATGGGAGTTTCAAGGAAAACTACTAAACTTACTTATATGGATATTGTTATAAAAAATATATATTAAATTTTAAAACCTATACTTCAGACTACATGATTGGCCCGATGTTAGGATATTTATGGCATTCTATTGCTTGTATGGTGTATGAAATCTTCTGGTTCACACGGCTTTGTGTTCGTTCCGCGGAGTCAGCAGCGTTACTCGTTATTTTATTTTATTTTATTTTAGGGAAACAAACAATAAGATAAACTTATGGGATATGAATATACAAAATTACATGTGTCAGTTAAGTTTCCATTGGTTTTTTGATATTTTACCCATACAAAGATGTTGACCCTTCGCTGTTCATTTATTTATTCATAAGTAGCGAATACGTAACACTCTTTCGTCCATCGGCAAACCGTTTACCGCGATTTAAATATTGTCTTATAAATATTGACGTCATTATTGACTGTGAAGGGGACTGACACTTGGACACATAATCTTGACCGGGAGTTTTTCCACCTTGGCGTGGTCTATCAGACTTGCGAAATTCTTCTTCATCTATTCACTCTGTCTTTTCGTGGTCGTCTTGACAATTCAGTAAGAGCGGGCGTGCTTAGCAGAACTTTTGCTTTTGGCCGTACAATAATATCTCTGCCATTTTCCAAGTTTCGAAGGTCTGAATTTTGAATCTTGATAGGTAGCAGACGATTACTACGTTAAAAAAAATTCCTCTTCCAACGTTGAGAGGCAAAACGAATGAGGTATATAAGGTATAATGTAATGAGGTATTACACTCGTTTCATGGACGTCGAATATACTAACTATTTTCACGGACGAATACTTCAAATACATACTCTCATCGACCTTCGGCTGGTGTAGTCGCTTTTTTTAAAGCGCTACCCAGTCCTGGACCCTGGTCACTATTTGCCGCATACAAGTGTATACTGTACAAGCAACGCGGCGGTCCCCGTCCTAGCACACACCGCCCTAGCACACTCTCCCGACCCATCAACGCGTCACAAGGCGTCTCCGCCTCTTTATCTCAAAGATAAAGACAAGTGGGACAGTATGTCCCAACTATTCATAGAACTAAAAATTCACTTCACGTCGGCCCGGCCGACGAAAGATGATATCAAAATCCAAGTGTCCTCAGCGGCTGACCACCGTAAGATGACGGCCCTCCTCCGCGAGCGTGGTATTGGATACCACACTTACGCACTAGAGGAGGAGCGCCGCCTTACGGTGGTGATCCGCGGGATGCCTTGCGAGATTTCAACAGAATCGGTTTTAAGTGACCTTAAGTCACAAGAATTCCCTGTCCAGGCGGTACACCGGATGTACCGCCCAACAACTAAAAAACCTTTCAATATGGTGCTTGTCCACTTGGACAACACCAAGGAGGTGAAAGCCATATTCAACATCCAAACGGTCTGCTACCTGTCCGGCTTACAGGTAGAGCTCCCCCGCGGCCGTGGCATCCCCGGACAGTGTCACTGCTGCCAATGCTACGGCCACTCAGCTAGATTTTGTTACGCACGCTCTAGGTGCGCACCCAGCGAACTACCGCGGGTGCCCGAAAGCTCCGCGCAGGGCAAAGCGAGGAGGGAAAAAATCCTCTCCCCATTCTAGAGCTCCTCAAGCTCCTGCCACTCAGGCTCCCTCCAAGGCGGTCAATGCCTGGTTTAGAAATAAACCCGCCGCACCAATCACTACCACGTCGCCGGCCGCGCCCGCGCCTTCAACTGAGCGAAACAGCGGAGTCTCCAACCCCCTGTCTTGTATCACCAAGTATTTTGAGGCGTTCGATCCGCCCGAACTACTCATCTTAGCGAATAAGCTCAAGGCTTGTCAAAGCGACGACAACGGCCGTTTAAATGCGATGGTTGGGCACGCAGTTATGATCAACGACATTTACAACCTCACCAAGTCATCTTAAATGGCTTCGACGCGGTGTAGAGTTAAACCCCGGTCCCTAAACGTCGTCACTTTCGTAGTAGTCAAACACCAGGTAGACATTCTCCTCGTCCAAGAGTCCCTCCTCAAACCCAGTACGAAGGATCCTAAAATTGCCAATTATAATATGGTAAGAAACAGGACCTCCTCCCAGTGGGGAGGTAGTGTCATTTATTAGGCGGTCCCTCCTCTGCGTTCCCTTCTTTTTTATACTACTTCCCCTGACATGGTCAAGCACCTTGTTGTCAACTTCTCTTTCATTCCAGTTCTATGAGTCACGATGGCCTTTCTTTCCGCATGCTGTCTTTCTCTCATTCGTCCCTTTCATTCCTTATCTAATTGTGTGTACCTGCCTTATTATCTATTCTATTTCTTTTATTACAGGGATCAAGAAGGGGGGTTCTTGTTTCTATTTATTTCCTATGTCATTTTATATTTCTATGCATTACTCTTATGTTTTATTTTATTAACTAATTCTATTTTCCATTTACTGCTTGTCTTTTGTAACATTTGTAATGTCATTACTTTCATTATTTTTAATATTTCCTCCTATATATTAGTATTTATTTACAATTTTATTATTTGCAACATTGTTAATATTATTACATTATTTCTTATTTCTGTTACATTATCTTATTTTATCTATTTCTATTACATTATTTTATCTATTTCTATTACATTACTTAAACAGACTAGAAGTCTCCCTATGCCAGTCAAGTATGACAGGTCATCAGCCCGTCATACTTCATTCGTCCTCGTCATTCGTCCTCGGCCGCCTCTACCCCCTCTATGCAAAAGGAGTAAAATGTCACTTTGAAAGTTGAAGATGACGTTATACAAATCGTGCATAAGATCAATTATGGCCTATGGCAGCGTAGCATTCGCTCACCAAAATCTCAAACCGTTTCAGACCCTTCAGAACCGCTTCATGCGCATGATCACGGATGCCCCGTGGTACATGCGTAACGTCGACCTTCATAGGGATCTCGATCTCCCCTCTATTCGGCAACATGTGAAGGTACTCTCCGAGAGGTACTTCGAAAGAGCCATCACTCATCCCAACCCTCTGGTGAAGGAAGTCAGTACCTACATTCCAAATAAATTTCATAAGGGTGCTCGGAGACGCCCCAAACGCGTTCTCATCTGGACGATGACATTACGATTAGTAATAGGATCACCGCGTATTCAGATTGGACTAACAGTAGTTGAACTACACTACAGACAAATACACACACTCACACACACACACACACACTTTCAGGCCTCTTCGTAACGGTACAGTCCCAACACTGGCCCACACTTCCGGTGACGTTGTGAAAGCCAACAACTAAAAGCTGACAGTATAACTCATTGCCAAAAAGCCCTTCCATCCGCCCGAACTATCAGTCTTGGCAAACAAGCTTAATGCTTGCGAAAACGACCCCATCGCCTGAGTCGACGCATTTGTTGAGCACGCGGCGTTAATACGAGATATACGACTTCACCAAGTCATCTTAATTGGCTACGACGCGGTGTACGATAAAATAATAGACATTAGAATTCAAATACATTTAAGACATGTATGTGTATAGACATATATTTTAAACCCCCTTCCCCTCCCACAATCTCTCGTAAGATATTCCAGAATGTGGCTTTCTAACGTAAACGCGTTGGATTATTATTGTAAATAGTATAACAATGTACTTTTTACATTAATTATAAATACTTGATATTACAATGTAAGTAAGAGTAATTGTAAATGTAAGACTAAATGGTAGATACTTTCATCTCGTCTGTCCCTGATCACTGTTATTAAAGAGTATTTAAATCTTGTGATAATATGTAAAATATTATAATAAATATGTTGTAAATACAAGTCCTAGTTTCATTTAAACAAAACCTACATTCGTTGGTTGATTTATTACAAAGCCATCAATCGCCAAATTACTTCGTATTTTACAGTTATAGTTTTAGACTTGATTTTAAAGTTTTAGACTTTATTCAGCGTCACTTCCAGTAGTGTATTACAAAATGGCTAAAGCTAGTATTTATAGTTTTCAAATACAAAGTGATACTTAAAAGTTGTCTTTACAAAATTACAATGGTTCAGTATTATAATTTTTTATATTTAGTAATAAAGGAGATTGTCCACTTAGTATGGGGACTTTGGCCCGACGTGAACAGACATTTTATCATATTTTTTGTAATTAGTTTAAAAGCACTAACTAGTAATAATGAGAATATGAACTTAATTTTGTATCAAAATGTTTAAAAAGAGATTTTTGTCATGTGAGGAAAAACAGGTTAAAGCAAAATAAAAGAACATTTTTTATGATTTATTTTTATTCTGAGACATCATATGTTATTAATATGTGTTCAAGAAATTGGACAGGTGGTGAAATGTGTTCCTGATACCTTGCCCAACTTAAAAACCATAAAATAGTCATTATATGAGCGCAGGAACCCACTGTCCTTCGGCCAACCATGCAATTACAATAATATTCTTTTATAGCTTCCTTACCATTGTGATTATTTTCAGGGTAGTCAACCAATAGGTTGCTGGCTATATTTCTACATATTTCTATAGTATAGGAACCATCGCCTCTTGTGTGCTGCCCATAATACGAACAAGCTTGTTTTAGTTGGTATGTTCCACATGCAATTAATATAAGATCATTATATTCTATTCTTGGAAATATGAAACTGTCCATGTTTACATTTATAGGTTGAAAATCTGCCCGCCTTCTATTTAAATTATTTTCGATAACAAAGTCAGCTAATGTGTTAGGAGTAAACATCTTTTCATTTATTATAATAGAACAGTATATAAGGATTATAATTACGTAAAACAACAAAACGTCATTTTGCGTTATAGGAATAGCATATACAATACATATCTATTAAAAAACGAGTAATTTAAATAATTGATTTGACACTAACTCGTCGAGGAGCTATTTTATCGTCTTATAATAGACTGAACCTGATTAAGATCTAGACTATGTCCCCTTCGCTCTATCAAATCAGTTTCACAGTTTATGTATCTCACAGATACGGATTGGTAAGAAGTCACTTCTTCTGTGTGCAGACTATCATGAGACACGCTTTGGTTTTGTTCAATGTCCATATTAAAGCCGTGGTTAGCGATGGAGCTAGTTTCGGGGTCCAAATTACGTGAGTGTTGGTCATCGTTTATGCTTTGATCGGAGTCCATAATACAAAAGCCAGGGTCATCGTTTGAGCGAAATTCGGGGTCCGTAGATGTGCAGGGGTCACTGGAAAAAGATAGGTCGGAGTCCATAATGAATAAACAATCGTTGAAAGAAAATCAACAATAAATCAACACTCTCAATGTAGGTAAACAAAGCGAATGCCGAATGTAAACAATCAGTCTGTGACATATCAATGTCAATTTGTATTTTTTTGTTTTATTAGTGTTGCAATAGAAAAAAATCATTAAAAAATCGATCGAAAACAGATATGATTACGTTTAACATTCTTCATAATTCAGTTTATAAAACGTTTTAAATGACGAAAATAATTAAAAACAAATATTATTATTTTTTTGTATATAGTTGTATTAAGTACTGCGAGATGATTCGATTTGACGCAATCGTTAATTGATCTTGCTGGTAACACAAAACGTGGATCAATAAAGCAAATTAATGAAGATACTTTAAAAATATTTTTTCAATAAAATACAAATGTACACTCAAACAACAATAGAATGGCTAGCTAAATTTTTTTTTTTTTTATAAAGTTGATTTTTTGATAGCAGCTTGTTCACGCTAGGCCAAAAATGGACATTGCCCTTTTAAACTTAGTTTATTATTTTCTAAAGTAGTGTCTTCAATTCAGAGATTTACCCCAGACTGGATATAGGTTACTCCTCTCTCATTTCCACCGATGGCTCTGTGTCAACATTTGTTGCTCAACACCATTGTTGTGCTACAATGTAATGCTCCGGCTGTGCTTGATTTACCCATAGAGAAGAGACGAAATCTCTTAGCATTCAATGGATTCACCGTGCGGGTGCCGGGTCCATCGCGTTGCAGGGAGAGGAGCTTCAACAGTGTCTGGGACTTGCGACCCAGGTGTAGGTTTAAGGGGTCCTATCTAACACGCGTTAAACGATCACCTCCACTGTCCAAACTCCTCTCTCTACCTAACCAAGTTTGAAATCATTTTTCGATTGTAGACAATTGCTGTGCCCCACGCTTTTATTGTAGTCTAGTCTGAGCATATGTTTATAATTCCCACGACTGTATCTATTTTATTATTTTTTGGTTTTTCGTACATTTATCTTAAACGTAGAAGGACGCGCTTGAAGTACACCGCGGTCTCGTCCGCGAATAGGGCTAGATGTGTGTGTATGTATGGTACCGGAAGACTGCTCATGAATAACTAGTATTGAAGTGAGGAGAGGACGGAGTCTTGAGAGTATTCCACCTTTAGTGATCCGGGGAGAGAAGAGAGTGCCCTTCACTTGATAGTTGACAGAACGATTTGATTAGTATGCTCGAATGTACACGAACCTATCAAACACCTTTAGTTCGGACAGACTGTAACAGCCGTCGTGCCAGACTTTGTAGAATACTTTTTATAAACTGTACTTCTAATATAACCTATTGTTTTAATAATTGAAATATTTGGATCCTTTTTGGCTCACATATTATTAACGTGGTTTCAATTTAAGAAGCTTCATACTTACTCAGACCAAAGTAGAATTTTATATTTAACATTCATATACAGCACAGTATCCACAAGTTCTTATTTTAGAATATATAATTTAATTGTTTTTTTAATCATTAACTGTTTTGTTTTAACAATCAATAACATATTTCATGTTTGGTTTTTTGTATTTTGAGAGATATTTTGAAGAGAAAGATATTTTGAGATGGTGACTACTGTCGGTTACAACTACATATTCTCATAAAAAAGTATTATCTTAAATAGTACAAATGCAATGATAATGAGATAAAGAAAAAAAATTACTGATCAAACCTT